TGCTAATTGGCCTGAACTCTGCTTTTCCAGCTAGACTTATAATACTTGCATTCCATGCCAATATGAACTTTGTGTTGTTGTTTTTCAGATTTTCAACATGAGGTCCCCTAATCTAATACAATTTTGGTCTTTTCCTGGTTGCCCTATCTTGTCTTACTGTTCCTTCTTCCCAATCCAAACCTGACACTCAATGTTTAACACCATGGACATTTACAAACCACACTTAAAGGCTGTGATAGGAATACGCCGCCTCTACCTTTACTCTGACAGGGAAAAGTGTTTTATCACTAACATTTTTAGTTACCTGGGAAAGATGATTTTTAAAACCAGATCAACTTTTACTCCATTTCATTATTTTAAAAATATACCTCTTATTGCCTGCAGCTGGGAACACTGCTCCCCAAATACCTCTGTTGGTATACCACTTTTCATAGAAGGAGTGAAGACAGAGGTGCTGGCTGGTTTCTAACAAAGAGAAAAGATGGCAGATGGGAGAATCTCCAACTCAGTATAACTACAGTTATTGATTCTGTAACATCATTTTTAAACAGTTTCTATTCCTTATTTCTATAATTTATTCTTTGTCCAGATCACAGCCTAACTTGTACAAAAACTATAGGCTTTAGAATCAGACAAGTCTCAGTTCAAATTCTGACTTATGAGCTATGTTATCCAGATTATTTAACCTTTCCAAAACTCAGTTTTTTTTTAATCTGAAAATGTACATGCCACATGTTATTCATGGAAGGATTAAAATTTTGTTCTTTTCCAAAAATCTCTGGACACACTATGTATATATATACACATACACACAAACACATACAATCACATAACACACACCCCTGTGTGTCTACATAGATATGCCTGTCTGAGAAGTTCTACTGGCAGCTAATATTTACATTTACTACCATGTACCAGATGCTATTCTAAGCTCTTTGAGTATAGGAAAGCTTACTGAAATGCTTATGATGTAACTATGAGACTGATGCACTGAATATCTTTATTTAATGGGATACAGACCTGGAGAAGAGTCAAGTTAAAGTGCTTAAAGGTGAAAAGATGGGAATGCTAAAGATTGTATTTAAAATAACACTGGAATGCTGCAGCCTTGGCAGAATGGAATGAGAAAAATTGGAGAAGTCTTTCACCCTGGCTTATATAAAATCAAAGATTTTGCCAAAGACAAATGTTAAATAAGGCAAAATCTACATTAATTTGCTTCAATAGCCAATGCCATTATTTGTTATTATTGTTATGTATATGCCATTAATTTACAAAATCAGATGCTGGTTCTTTATGTTATTAATGTGAGAACAATCTGAGAAGCAAAATGTTATGTAGTATGTTGTTTTATGTTGACTTTCCCTGAAAATTTGCCTTTCTAATTACAAGAGAAACAAAATTATAACCCAGGCTTTCTTCTATTTGCCTAGCTGTTACTTAGTATTCATACACCTGTAACATCTTGGCAGTTAAGCATTGTAAAGGCCTTCATTTTCTCAGTGCTTATATATGCAGAGTAAAATCCACAGCTTCTTCTCCAACCCCCTACTTTATAGAAAGCTTGATTATTTTAGCAGAATGGTCTTATTATATCTTAATTTATCTGAATTCTACCACTAAAATTATAATCCTTTACTCTGTCACCTACCTAATGATAGGAAAACACGGAGTAATGACATGAATGAGAAAGAGGCCACCACAAATTCAGAGACTAGTGTCACATGTTGTAGCACACTATGAAAGCCCCATGTGGGCCACTCCATCTAGTTCTTTCCTCTTGGCATCTAGTTTTACCTGGCTTCCTTTCACATTTCTAACATAAAAGGTTGGCTGTACCTTATTTTTCTCTGTGGTATGGTTATTATACATAATTACCCAACTTCTACACACACTTAAATCTAGCGAAGCTCTTTTTATTTCATAAAATCAGAAGATTTGTGGTCCTTACAAAAAATTCTACTGCCTCTGGGATTTTTATTTCAATAGCAATTAAAAATTTAGCAAATAGATCATGGCTTAAAGTAGCACTGTGTATATTTTCTAGGAAATACGCTAGAATGATTATGATTATTACAAATCAGGCTGGTCAAATAGAAGTGTTCTAGTTTATATCCCTTTTAAAGCATTTCTACCAATGTACGTTTTAAAATTCTGTACAGGAGTAATACCTCTTTTTGTCTTTTCTTCCCTGGTCACACCATTATTGCTATGGATTTAACATATATTGTATTTCAAGTCTGGATCTCCCAGACTCAACCTCCCTAATCCTAAGCAGCCAAAACTGCCCTATTCACTTATCATAGATATATACACTTACTAGCTGTGATGGTTAATATTGAGTGTCAACTTCATTGGATTGAAGAATAAAAAATACTGTTCCTGGGTGTGTCTGTGAGAGTGTTGACAAAGAAGATTAACATTTGAGTCAGTGGACTGGGAGAGGCAGATCCACCCTCAATCCTGGTCGGCACCATCTAATCAGCTGCCAGTGTGACTAGGATAAAAGCAGGCAGAGGAATGTGGAATGATGAGACTGGTTGTCTTCTGGCTTCCATCTTTCTCCCGTGCTGGATGCTTCCTTCCCTCAAACACTGGACTCCAAGTTCTTCGGCTTTTGGACTCTTGGACCTACACTAGTGGTTTGCTCAGGGTTCCCAGGCCTTCGGCCATAGACTGAATGCTGCACTGGTGGCTTCCCTACCTTTTGAGGTTTTGGGACTCAAACTGACTTCCTTGCTCCACGACTTGCAGATTTCATCTTGTGATCGTGTGAGTCAGTACTCCTTAACCAAGTCTCCTTCATATATACATCTATCTTATTAGTCTTGTCCTTCTAGAGAACCCTGGCTAATACCCTAGTATTGAAGGTACGTTAAGAACACCAAGCCATGGAATCTTATTTAGTTATAATTCACTGCAAAATTTCCTAAGAAAGTTTAGTTTATAAGTTGTGAACTAGAATTATTTTATACACACACACACACACACACACATATATATAAACATTTTGTGAGTTAAAACTTGTTAATTTTTATTGATGACTATATGAAACTGTCTGTGGTTTAATAACATTTGAAGATCACAGAGAATATTTCTACTGTTTTTCTTTCTGTGAGATATCCTAGCTTATGTCAAGGAAAGTAATGTTTGATGTCTAAGAAATCAAATTATATTTTAAAACTTTGAACGTGCTTTGGTATACTCAGAAGTATCACATTTTTTCTTTTCTTAAAATCTAACTGATACGGCTGGGCATGGTAGTTTACACCTGTAATCCCAGCACTTTGGGAGGCTAAGGTGGGCGGATCAGGAGTTCAAGACCTGCCTGACCAACATGGTGAAACCCCATCTCTAGAAAAATACAAAAATTAGCTGGGCATGGTGGTGTGTGCCTGTAATCCCAATGACTTGGGAGGCTGAGGCAGGAGAATCACTTGAACTTGGGAGGTGGACACTGCAGTGAGCCAAGATCATGCCATTGCACTCCAGTCTTGGCGACAGAGTGAGATTCCATCTCAAAAACAAACAAAAAACAAAAAAACGAACATATAATTGTGCTTATCAAGGATTCTCATTTTTTTTTTACAAAGAATTTATTTATTTATTTATTTATCATCTCACTTAACTGTATGAATTTAGGGCTGAAAAATAAAAAACCATGATTGCTTAACTAGAGGAAGCAAACACTGCAAATCCAGTAGTTTAGAGGGAAAAGATCGGTTGTGTGCAGAGATTGGTGTAATAGCGCCCCAAGTCTGGAGGAAGGAAATGTTGCCAAATTCAGCTGATCTCCTCTCTTCTGGAAGTGACAGTATAGCATTATAGTATCTCTCCAGTTTAGAATCAGACATTTGGCTACCTCTACTGCAAATTATATACCAATAAATTATAAGAGAATTAAAGATAATTTATAAGAACTTTATTTTCTATAACAAGGAAAGTCCCTCATATATATTTCATACTGAATGTTTACCACTCAGAAGAAACTCAAGTAAAATATGTAACATTTGCTACATATTCTACATAATGGAACTAAAGAACACACACCTTCATAAAAACACCCTCTGGATGATAATATGAAATTTACAAAGTGAATCGGATAGGTTCTTTCCAAATCTGCTTATGTGAAGATCACATTATAAAAATAAGTAGTTGGTCAGTATGTATTAGTAAAGAAAAAAAATAAAACCTGCAGTTCACAATTATTTATACTAAAAGTACTGGATGTCCTTCATATAAAAAAGCCCTGTGCCCTGACATTGTGCAATCTACGTAAGATTCTAGATAAAGTTGTAGAGTTATCAATTAGGTAGATATGGAGCTAGATGACTCAACCTATTCCTATGATCTTAATAAGAAATTAATAAGGAGTTCCAAATCAAACCAACAAATGGTAGTTAGTAACTGTTTTGAAACTTTTTCCATTATGTAGCTTGGAAAATTAAGGTACTTCCTCTAAAACCCATTAGTCATTTGGGCAATAGCTAGAGTATTTATATACAAGATTTTTTTTTCTCTTTTTCTTTTTAGAATTTGAAAGATCTCAATTAATGATGCAGTGCAAAATACTGATTAGCATATTTGATAATACAATGCATATTTTAATATAACTTGCTATTTATTTTTAACTATCAAAATAAAATTCTAAGTTTATATTGGAACCCCATTTTCTAAGCAATAATAATTATGTGGTGAAAAGTTGCCTAGGATTCAACAAGTTTAATTTTTTAATAAAAATAAGTTTAGAGGAGTAGCTATATAGAATTCTTCCTTACTGAGAAATGTCATGATTCTTCACAGTTATCTGTGTCCATACTACAAATCAACTCATATTGAAAGTTATTCATAAAGAAGAAATAGCTGTATTCTCTATAAAGATTTCTAAATTAAAGAGTTGTCAATTATTTAGTATCAAGCTTAAGTAAAAAAACCAATTTAATTAAGATGACAATTTACTATTTAAAAACATTTATATATAAGTAACTAAACATCCTTACCTTATAAATATCCAAAAATCCACACTGGTGGTCAAATCTGGTGTACAGCTCATTCAGCATGCTGATGACCTGCATGGGAGTACACTGGGCACATATGGCTGTGAAGCCAACAATGTCTGAAAAGAGCATGGTGACATCATCAAACTTTCTGGCCTGTACTTGCTGTCCTTGCCACAGTTGCTGGGCTACATCACCAGGAAAAATAGAATACAGAAGATCCACTGTCTTCTTTTTCTCTTCTTCCAGGGCCTGGTGAGTTCTTTCTAAAGTTGCCTTTAATTTATCCATCCTTTTCTTCAAGCCATCTTGAGCCTTTGCCTGCTCACCAACCAAAATGACATCTCGGGTGGCATCATGGATAGGGATGTCTGAGAGATGGAGCCCTCGGCCCATGAGTTCATCCAACTTGTCCACACATGGAGAGCCCAAAAATAAAATGGAATTTGATTCCGGAACATGGATCATTTGTCCTTTGACTTCCATCACCTGTGAAAGTAACATGGAATTTTGATCAGTACTCTTCACATAGTGGGTTCACAAAATTTAATATATTATCTGATGAACAGGGAAAATAAAAATGTCTTATTAGCAATACTGTGTTACTGCATTCATATGAGCAAATTAAAATCTAATTTTAGCCAGTTTAAAATGCACAGTTCTGAAGAGAAATAATTATTTATATGTGACTCAGATACTTTCTAAAGACAATAGTGAAGCAGAAAGTAAGATCAGTGAAAAATGAAACAGGAAAACATTTTTTATTCAAGATGATACTCCCAGGTACATCATGAAACTGGTTTATGAGCCAATTAAAAAGCTTTCAATGTGCAAAATACTAATAAAATTAGGATAAACCGAGTCAAAGTAACTGTATTTAACTGTCATTACAATAATACTCCTTTCAGAAAATAAATCTAGGAGGTTACAAATGAATCAAAGTAATTGTCTGGACTCACATAAGTCATTTTTCAACTATTATAGTACTTTGAAAAGATACTAATCATCGCACTGGTTAGATTAGTGGACAGTTCACTTATTCTTAAAAATAAAAAGATAAAACCAGGTATCATTAAGCTAGCATTACCATAAAATAGCTATCAATTAGCATGTTCATATATAGCTAAAAATAAATGAAAAATATTAATTATAACACTAAAGGAATTTGGATCATATGATAAAGAATCTGAGGGTACCATAATTTAAATCTATTCCTCCTTTCTGTGCCCTTTCACTAGAGAATTTAGGGAGGTGGTATTTAATGGAAAACTTAGTGAACACAAACTTATGCCTGGTAGCCTAATGAACACCTTCAGAGGGGACGAACAATGAGCACCAGTAAGAAAGGAAGGTGACGTTAGGGTATGGCCACAACTATAGCTATTTGGATTGGACTCAGGTTAGACTAAACACACCTGGAAAAGAAGCTAGTTGCAATTACTAAGAAAGAACAGGCTAAAAGTCGACCAACTGGGACTGTGCATCAGTTTCGTGTATGTTCTACTACCATATGGAATGCACTTATTACATGTATTTTCCTTCTTTATAGCTAAATAGTTAAGCTAGTTGATAAAAGCTGGTGGCACTGAACAAATATGGAATAAACTATAGGGATTTGGATTTTTAAGTCTGTGAATATTTTTACTTTGCTCCCTTGTACCATTCACCAAGGTCTTGTTTATAAGAAAATAAAATGAAATCATGCTTCATATTTTTTATGAAATTAAATGCCCACTTTATGTAAAATTTCAGTGTTTCATCCTTTTATTTATATTACTCTCATTTATTCACTAGAATATTTATTGAGCATTTTCTATTTACTAGTAATGCTCTACTCTGGGTGATAAAGATAGAAAGATAAAATAAGGTTCCCTTTTTCAAACATATCACAATATGGTAGAGAACCAGATCAGTATTGGCCAGAGAATAGGAGGAAGAAGACATTCTAAATTCACCACCTAAAATAGGCTTTCAAAATACTGTAGGCTATAGCTTGAGTAAAAATAAAATAATTGTCTCGTAAAATATTTACGGATTGTTTTATATATGTTTCATATGCTTTTGGGGGGAGAAGTGTTGTTAATAATACATATTTTCTTGTTATTAGGATCTTAAGGACATGGTAAGGAAGATACATATAGTTTAAAAAATAGTATACAATTTTTTAAAAGATTGACATTACAGCAAAAGCCTTGATAAGTTTTCTAGAGTTAATCACATTTTTCAATGGCAATAATGACATCTGATATTCATATATTTAAACTTCTGTATAGTCTCTCTCTCTCTCTTTCCTCACATTTCTTTCCAATTATTTCTTTTTTCTTCTCTATCTTGCTTTCTTCTTTCTTCTCTCTTCTGCTTTCTGGAATTATACTTTCTTCATCTTCCTCTCTTCACTTGGTGCTTGTCTCTCCTTCTGCTGGTCTCTTCCTCATCGCTTGGACTCCACTCTCTCTCATTTTTTCCATTGGTTCCTGTTTTTTCTTTCGCTTTTCTTCCTAGGTATCAACTTCCACATTTACCATCACAATTAGACTTTATTCTCTTTTGCCTTTATCATCTTCATCTTAATTTTAAATATGGAATCAGTGTATGTATGTATGCATGCATACATTATTATATATTATTTTCTATATGTAATACATTTTAAAGATTAATTTATAAAAAGTCTGAATTGAATAGCACAAATTCTGTCTAAAAAACATAAAACAGTAAATATGTTCTTGATTTATATGACTTTTAGGTTGTTTTTTGAAATCTCTATGTAAAGAGACCCTGAAAGAAAAAAAAGTTACTGATTGGCTACACTACAGAAAAACAATTCATTGAAGAGAAGCCCTAACGAGTAAAGTAAATGACTTCCTTTTCAATATTTTCTATCAATGATTTTTTTTATTTAATGAATGGGCAGATTCAATGGCACCATTTGTATCTCTGCCATCAATGCATTTTTACTTAAATTGGAAAATGATATAAAGTACCCTTCTCAAATTTTCTCATTATAATTATAAATTCAGAAATTCACCCTGATATGCATTTATTAACTTAGCAATAAACAAAACTATTATAAGAACTATATATTTGTATGTAAAAGAACTGTGGAAAATTGCTTAAAATAGAAACATCTATATAAGATTTTATTGCATCTTACATCATATTGAAGTTTCAATGAGATAGCACAGAAGACATCAGAAAAATAAATGGTCCTAACATTTGTCAGATTTCAGAAATTGGCAAGCATAACAAATGGGAGCATTTTATTCTAAGCTACAGTAAAGGGTTAAATGTCATACTATCACAAACCTTGATTGTTCAGGCTCTGTTAAACTATCTGCATTATTTCTTTTTTCATTTTACTTTTATTTTCATTTGGAGGGTACATGTGCAGGTTTGTTATATAAATAAATTCATGTCATGGGGGTTTGGTGTATATTAATGAACAGATATTTCTATGAAAAGATTTACCACTGTTATCAATAAGTAATCAGAATGGAGTAAGTCCAGGTCATATAACTGCATATTACACATTTTATGTTTTTGCATATCTCAAGCATGGACTAATCCATGCTCTCATGGAGATTCAAGTTTTATAAGAAAATCATTTGAGGCAGTGTTACATAATAGTTTGAAAAGAAGGATTTGGAAGAAGTCAGGCCTGAATTTGAATTTCAACTCTCCTGACGATTAAATGAAAGAACTGACCTAGGTTCAGTTCCTTATCCTTTCAAAGCGTAGGTTTCCTTATGTATAAACTGGAAAAGATGATAATGATTGATGAGGATGATGCCTGTAGCTGACTGAACCCATCTGTGAGTACTTGCTGTTGGCCATGTACTGCCTGAGTACTTAATTAATACTTAGTTAATACTTTGTTACTGATCAACTTTTCGCTAGCTATTACTATCCTCAGTTTTAAGACTTAGGGAGGTTAAGAGGCTTGTTAAGAATACATAGCTAATAAGCAGTGAAGTCACCACTCAAACCCATTGGCTTGACTCCAAAGGAAACATTCTTAACCACTGTGGAAGCCTGATGCTGAAAGAGAGAGAAGGGAAACAAATAATTTTAAATATAAATCAATGTGAAGGCAAAACAACCCTAAAGAGAAGTTCACAATGGGCGGCTGAAAAGAGAGAAACTGTTGCTACAGATATAGATGAAGCTGCTATTTGCATGCCTATTTTTTTTTAATTCAGTTCAATAACAAAAAATGGGCACTTCTAGATGTGGTTTCTGGTCTTTCCGATCCTTAAAATGTAATTTATGAAAGTACTAATAGAATGATATGTCTCTGGTGCCTCAATGATTAAAGGGGCTTCCAGAAGGGCTATTTCTCTCACAGGGCATCATTTACTTTCAAAGAACTAGCTCTAGCTAAAAAAGCAGGATATAATGCCCAGCCTGAGAAGCTTCCATGTCCTTAAAGTCCTGATATTCTCCCTCTCACAGCCACCATAACTCACCACCCAAGAATTGTACTGCTAGAGTCACCAGCAAGAGAAATTCTGCACAACAAACACCAAGCTAGGAATTACTCTTCATCCACATGGGCTGAAAAATCCCCTCCATATAGACACATAAGGATATCGGAGTGGCAGAAGCCTGCTCTGTACCCTCAAGCAGCATTAGCAAGGACAGTGGGAGCCATGAGGCATAAAATAAACCACTATGAAAAGAGCAGCACATAACCTCTGAAAATTATACAGTCACTGCAACTAAAACCCACAAAAGTAGACCAGGACCTACATGCTAAGCCTAAACAGAGAAACTGACTGTGAAAATTTTAAATAGAATCTAGAGTGTCCTAACACAATACCCAAATTATCCAGAATATAATAGAAAGTCAACCATCATAATAAGAATCAAGAAAATCACAACTTGAATGAGAAAAGACAATCGATTGACGCCAACACTAAAATGAATCAGAAGTTGGAATTATCGGTCAAGAATTTTAAAGAAGGCATGAGAAAATATTTCAACAAGCAATTACAATTTTTTTTATTGAATTTTAAAAATACAATCTCAGCAAAGCAATAGAAATATAAAAACCAGTGGAAATTATAGAACTGAAAAATACAGCAACAAAAATAGAAAACATCCTGGGTGGGCTCAAAATTAGAATGGCAATGACAGAGGAGAATCAGTGAATTGTGGACGACTTAATAGAATTTACTCAATCTGAACAACAGAGAGAAAATAGGCTTAAAAAATGTTTTAGGACTCTAGGAAAATAAGAAAAGAAATCCACATTCATAAGAGTTCAAAAAAATAGGAAAGAGTAAGGTTCAAATAGTATTTGAAGAAACTGTAGATGAAAATGTCTTAAATGTGGTAAAAGATATAAACTCACAGACTTAACTATATGGATTCTAAATAAGGATAAACTCAAAGGTATTCATTCCAAGATGCATCATAGTTAAACTTCTTAAAATTAAATACAATAAAAAAAAATCCTGCAAACAGCCAGAGAAACATGACACGTTACTTAC